TACCTTGTTGTGCTTCTTCACTCCTCCTCCTCCTCCTCCTCCTCCTCCTCCTCCCTCCTCCTCCTCCTCCTCCTCCTCCTCCTCCTCTTCCTGTTCGTCTCTTCGGCTCCCGCCTGAGAGGTCCCCCAAAAAAACGCGAAGAGGAAGAGGCCCCCGCCTGAGAGGTCCAAAAAAACGCGAAGAGGAAGAGGCTCCCGCCTGAGAGGTCTCAAAAAAACGCGAAGAGGAAGACGCCCCCGCCTGAGAGGCCCCAACAAAACGCGAAGAGGAAGAGGCCCCCGCCTGAGAGGTCCCCAAAAAAACGCGAGGAGGAAGAGGCCCCCGCCTGAGAGGCCCCAAAAAAACGCGAGGAGGAAGAGGATCTCGCCTGAGAGGTCTATATATATATATATATATATATATATATATATATATATATAAAAACTGAATCAAATGGAGGCCCCCGCCTGAGAGGTCCCAAAGAAACCCAAAGAAACCCAGGAGGAAGGCCTCTCGCCCCTGCAACTGTCCCCAAAAACAACAACAACAGCAACAACAACAAAAACAAAAACCAAAAAAAAAGCTTCAAAGGAGTATGCCGCCCTTGCCAACAAGGCTGGAGCAGCGGCGGCGGTTCCCCTCTGGATCTTTGTTTTTGTTTGAGGCAGTTGCAGGGATGAGAGGCCTTCCTCTTGGGTTTCTGTGGGTTTCTTTGGGACCCCCCAGGCGGGGGCCTCCATTTGACTCCGTTTTTTTGGGACCTCTCAGGCGAGATCCTCTTCCTCCTCGCGTTTTTTTTTTTTTGGGGGGGGGCCTCTGGGTCGTGCTTCTGCGCGCATCCACTGGGGCGCACTCGTGCGCTTCCTCTGGGTCGTGCTTCTGCGCGCATCCACTGGGACGCACTCGCGCGCTTCCTCTGGGCCGTGCTTCTGCACGCATCCACTGGGGCGCACTCGTGCGTTTCCTCTGGGTCGTGCTTCTGCGCGTGTCCACTGGGCTTCATTACCGAGCACAACGTTGCCTGGGTCGACACTGCGGGTTGGGCCACTACGTGGAAATGCATGGAGAGGAGGGCGCAGACATTTCTGGGGTTGCCGCGGCACCGTGAAATTGCATTCCTCGTGGGCGCGCACGAGCCCAGCATGCGCGAGCACGTCGGGCCGTCCTTCGGGCTTCGGCCGTGAGCGGCCCGCGGCGAGGGGCGCACTCTGCTGGTGAGATACGATGGGGGAGCCTGCTCAACGAGGAACGCATTCAGGGCTTTATTGTTTAGATTCTACAGCGCGCTGAAACACGTCGTCTAGTCGTCGCTGAAATCGCGTCATCGCGACGAAAGGCACCTTGTCTGCCTGTCAAAGATTCTCTGTGGGAGCTGTTCGAAATAATGATGATAATGATGATGATGGTGGTGAAGATGACAGTGCTGGTGATGATGGGGGCAGGGCTGATGACGACGACGATGAAGATGATGATGCTGATGGCGATGCTAGCGATGATGATGGTGATGGTGATGGTGACGGTGGTAATAATGGTGATGAGGAGGACGATGATGATGCGAGTGATGGTTATGACGATGCTGATGATTATTCAGACGACGGCCACGGCGACGAATACTACGATGATGCGGATGCCGATGATAATGATGATGCCGGCAACGAAGACGAGGACCATGAGCAGGATGGGGATGGGCCATCGTTGTGGTTTGGCGCCGCCACATGAAACGGCAAATACACATGCTCGAATCCCTCTGAGGCTTGCCATCCGCATCATTTGTTTGGCCAGCCCGCCTACTCGATTGCTTCCGAGGCCCATCATCAGCATCGTTTGTTTTGCCAATGTTCCAGAGGAGACGGCGCCCTTGGCTCGACCTGGGCTATGCTTGGGTTGTTAGTAGGCAGCGAGGGCGTTGTCTCGCGATGCCGATGAAGACATTGCAACCACCAACGCACAGCAACGTGATCGCCCTCTCCGTCGGATTGTCGCCATCGCCGCAGCCGTTTCTTGGCCGAGTCGGCAGCCAGAGCCGCAGGTGCCCGCACCTCTCACGCTTTGCCTTGTCCGTGCTATCGCGCGAGGAACCAGGGATGGCCGTCCACCGTCGCCCCGCCGCTGCTGTCGGGGGACGTTCGGGCATCGTCCCCAAAAAGGGCAAGGCTCGGATGGTGCTCAAGCGTCCCTCTGCTACCAAGACCAAGGACTGGAAGAACGTGCCGTACGTCAGGGAGAAAAACGCGACGCCCGGCAGGGGCTTGCGCCGCGAGCAGGCAAAGTGGAAGCGCACAGCCCCAGAGCTCTTGGCGGCGTCTGACGCGGAGATCATGAACATGTTGCTGGAGGACAAGCTACTCGTTGATTGGACTGGGGCGACTTGTCCTTTCTGCGGGCGCGGCAAGCTCGGGGAGTTGGCAGCTCGCCCGCACAAGGGCGATCGCTTCTTGCATCGGTGCAGCGCGAAGGGCTGCCAGAAGCACGTGTCTCCTGCCCACATGTACCCAATCTTCAGCGAGCACCCGACGTCCGAGAGCTTGCAGAAGCAGGCCGTGGTCCTACTGGCGAAGCTCACGGGGACTTCCCACGCAAACACCCACATCATGTTCGACGTCAACCACAAAGCGGTGGAGCGGATTTGGAGCAACGTTGAGCAGGCCAGGAGGATGTACGTGGAGGACGTGGAGCCGACCCTCGAATACAGTGGGCCGAAGGCATGGGCAGACGTGGAGGCTGACGAGGCGACCTTCGACAAGTTGGACTTGACCGACGGGCCCGAGCCTCTGGGAGACCCAACTCACCCCGTCATGTGGGAGCAGTGGTTGGGCATTGTGCAGCGCGGCAGGCCGCGCACGCTGACACTTACGAGATTGTGCCCCGAGATGGCGAGGAAGCGGGCGCCTGGCCCTGGGGCCGTGCGCAAGGTAGAGTGGAAGCCCCTTGCGGAGCGCTGGCTGAAAGACCGCGATGTTGTCTTTCACACTGACTCGGCGCGTTCCTACAAACTACGTGTGCCCGGAGTCATTCACGACTTCGTTGTTCACAAGAAGAAGTACAATAACGCCGGCGGCAAGAAGGTGCTCATTCCCCCCAGGTACGTCGAGCTGAAGACGCACGTACTCCCGTCGGGCAAGCGCCTCAAGGTCAGGAGCGGCACCCAGATCATTGACCGTGCGTGGCGCTTCATCAAGGACCGCGTGCACAGGAGCGCCAATGCCAAGGCAGGAACCAAGCTGCTCGCCACCATGATCCGCTCGGCCCAGTGCGACTACTGGCACAAGGACGACGACATGTGGGCCAAGACGGGGGAGATGGTGCAGCACATCATGCGCGACGTGCTGACGGCGTGATCGGCCCGCGGCGGACGTTTTGGCGTCGACGTAGGCAGTGCGCCCGCGCTGCTCGGGGAGTTCTATTGGCACAATGACGCGATATTCGAGTTACTTCGGTGCGCATGGCGCAACAAATTATGCGCAACGTACAGTATGCGTGATCGGCCGCGGCAGCCGTATGGGCGTAGACTTAGGTAGTGCGTCTGCACTACGTCGGGGTTCTGCCGTGGGTGCTCTTCATTGCGTGCTTCTGCACCTAGAGGTTTGTTATTCAAAAAGAATGCCCGCGGGTCCTGAAACCTAAACGCATCGCACTGCCAACGGGTCCAATCATCTCACCGCCACCGCGCCATCGGAAATTCTAGCATACACTGTCAGCACAATGACAGGAACACAACATCACATCATCGCTTCGCTTGGACGCCGACATATTGAACGGTAGACCCCTGCGGGGGGGGGGGGGGGGTAGCATATATATATATGGATGCGTGAATAAAGACGCACGCACACACAAATGCCACGCCCGCAGGTGCGCGATCGATGCAGGAGCCCACGCAATCAACATGCGCGCGGTACCTTCGGCAGCCTGTCCAGAGGGGCGAGGGCGAATCGCCGGCCGGCCGCGACGAGGACGACGAGCGGCGAGGACGAGGAGGGGGCGGGCGGGAGAGGGCGGTCTGACCCCCAGCCCTCATTTTCTCGAATCCCTTGCACTGGCCGCCACGGCGGGCGGAGAGATTCGCCCAGACGCGAACGCAACAGTAACCCGAAGCAACGCGTAACAAGGTGGCGAGTGCGGCCTGCACCCCTGACGAGCATCCCGCCGAGGCTGCACCCGCCGAGATAAATCAGAGCAATTCCCGCGAATTCTGAGAGAAACCTAACTAACTCGGACCCCTCCACAACTCCTCTCCTCATGTACAACCAGACCTAGGCCACAAGAACACTCCTCGAGAACGCGGGGCCCTCAGTCGGCCAAAACGCACAGAACATCCAAGGGTGCCATCACCAGGATGCATCATAACGTCCAACGAGCACGAAGAACACTAGGGTACCCTCCACGAACCGACCTCGATCTTGTATCTCGGTCCGACAGTACTCCACTTCTCATCCTGCTGTCTCTCTCCTCTCTCCTCTTTCCTCTCTCCTCTCTCCTCTCTCCTCCTCCTCCTCCTTCTCCTCCTCCTCCTCCTCCTCCTCCTCCTCCTCCTCCTCCTCCTCCTCCTCCCCCTCCTCCAATCCTCCTCGTCCTTCTCCTCCTCGTCCTCGTCCTCGTCCTCGCCCTCCCCCCCCCCCCCCTCTCCCCCCCCCCCCCCCACCAACCCCCGCGGGCCGCAGAGGGTGGGGCCCGACCGCCGAGGCCTGCGCCTCGACAGAGAGGGCGCCGCGAAGGGCCGCCAGGCACACCCTCCAGCGCGAGTCGAAACGCCGGGAGGCTCTAAAACGCAAAAGAGCTCCTCTGTCGGCGGTAGACAAACCTCCCTTTGGTAGACCTCCCCTTAGTGAAAACGGCCTGGGACCGAAACCGACGGAACTGGACCCGCAAAAATGACGGCCGCGACGCCCTCTCGCGAAGCGAAAGCGGCCAATGCCTTAATCAACGTGTCAGGGTCGGAGGTCTGTCCACCCCCGATTCTGGACCCCTCCTCCTCCCCTCCCCCCCTTCCTCCTCCTCAGCCGCTATCTGAAAAGCATGCCCCCTCACTTCAGCCTCCTCTGGCGCTTCGCCGGGCGCGCGCCCGCGGCCGCCTTCTTCTGCGGCGGCGGGGCTGCCTCCTCTGGCTGCGCGGCCTCGGCCTTGGTCGCCACGTTGCCGGCGGTGGCGCCACTCGGAGCGCCGCTGGCGGGGCCGCCAGTGCCCTGGGCCTTCCAGGTGTCCTGGGAGCAGAGGTCGACCGCCGTGCCCACATCGTCGGGGGTCTTCTGCTTGCGGCCCTTCATGCTCTGCTTGAGCTCCTGTCGGGTCGTCGACTGGCCAGCTCGCCGATCCTGGCCACGGCAACCCTCCTGAAAGGCGCGCCCTCCTGGAAGGCGCGCGCGCCCGCGGATCGGCTCGCGCGCCCGCCTGGAAGGCGCGCGAGCCGATCCGAGATCCAGGGTCGCCGAGGCCAGGATCTGTGAGCTGGCCAGTCGACAACCCCTCCTCACCCCAATCCTCGATGTGGCTGCGGCGCTTCTGCGCGTCCTTCTCGGGCATGATGACCTTGATCAGCGTGAACAAGGCGTGCACCAAGGACGCGCACTTGGTGCACTTGTCGCGCACCGACAATGTGTCCTTCAGGATCTGCTCATTGGCGAAGTCGCCGTGGCCGTCCTCGAGCACGGCCTTCGCGCCCTGCAGCCGCTCGGTGAGGAGCGATGCGAGATTGCTCAACATCCCGAAGTTGGAATCGCCAAGGATGGCCTCGAGCGTCTGCTGGTTCTCCTGGAGAGGAGGGTGGGGAGGCCTCCTCCTACCCCCCCTCCCCATCCTATCCTCGTCAATTTAACGCGTAGAAAACGTTCGGCCCCATTGTCAGCGAAAATGGGAAAGAACGCTTTCGGCATCTTAAATTCAAGATACGAGGAGGAGGAGGAGGAGGAGGAGGAAAGAGGAGGGGAGGAGGAGAGAGAGGAGGGGGAGCAGTTGGGGGGAGGATGGGGCGCTCCCGCTTGAGCAACGAGTCGTACTTCGACCCCCAGTCACACGAGGGCAGAACTTTGGAGATGTGCCCCGCGATCTGCTTGAGCTCCTCCTCGAGCGAATTCGTGCACAGCGCGATCGCGTAGTCGATCTGGCTGATGGCCGCCGATACAACCCCCGCCGGGGACTTCGAACAGCAATCGACGAGGCCGAAGTCCTCGAAGAGGATGAACCTTCTGGCCAGGTCGCTCTCCGGGCGAACGGCGCGAGCAGACAGCGTCGCTCGCACAGACCGCAGCTCCTTCACGAACTCCGTTGCCTTGGACTTCGGGCTGATGACCAACTCCGTGTGCGACTCCGCCTCGCGATGGAACTTCGCGGCGCTGGCGGCGGCGGTGATGGCGCGCGGCAGGAGCGACGACAAGGTCAGCTGGCATGAGAACGTCTTCATACCGAAAGTATCTGCCCACTGGAGGTTTCCAACGAAATCGATGCTGCCCGATTGAATGGCCAAAACCCTCTGGCACCACTCGTCCTAGTCGGCCACAAACGCAAAATGCCGCGCCAGCCCCCCTGGCACCCTTGCCTTTCTATTCAAATCTTTTACCAAACCATTCAAATCTTTTACCAAACCATTCAAGCCAGAATCCAAAGGCAAGGGCGCCAAAGAAGCTGCTGGGCAGATCAACGTTTCTGCCGACAGTCGTTGCTGGCGTCAAGCCTCTCGGGCCTGAAGACGGGATCCAGGACGTCGAAGCTCTTCAGGTTCAACATTGACAGGCGCAGAGCCCGGAGGCCCTTCAAAACATCCTTGACGAAAGGAGACGCCCCGAAGGTCATCCAGAAGATACCCCACTCCTTGGTCCCGATCTGCACGCTCGACTCCTCGGGCATGGTCAACGTATCCAGAGACGCATTCAGGATGCAGTGGTTGGCGGTCTCCAGCTTGCCGGCAAGCAAAACCTCCGTGCCGCGTTCGAGGATCCCGTGAATGGCGACGTGAGTATTCAAGCCTTCGGTCAACTGCAAAGCGTTGATGGCTGACACTTCGGCGAGCAGCGTCTCATCGGCCGTGGGATGCCCGACGACTTCGACCGAGTCGTTCACTATCAACTTCTTATCCGCCTCGATTGCATCCTGGACCTCGCCCATCTTCCCCTGTCTCCAGGATTCGTAGCTGTCGATGAGCGTCTTGAACTTGATGAACAGGTGCGAGATGCCCACGACAAGCTGGGTCACGCCTCTGAAAGCCGCAGTGGGCACCCTCTCCTTCGCCCTTTCCGTCACAATTTCCTCGGAGAACATCGCGAGGTCACCGCCCATGCACCACTTCACTATGTCATTGGAGGCCCTGGATCCCAACCCAAACAGAATCTCCAAGACGTCGCCGAAGTGGGGGCAGTGCTCGAAAGCTCGGAAGAACATATCGCCGGTGGTGCCCGGAACCTGAAGCTCGGGGTCCCACTCGGCAATCAGCCGATCCAGACGACTGCAGCACTGGACAGCCAGCGCCCCGTAGTCCGTATCGCGCGTGGCCGCCTTGTCCATCGCCGTGGAGAAGGTCCCGAGGGCATCCCTGACGTGCCCGCCGAACGTGGTGATAGCGAGTCCGAGCTCCCTCACTCTGTGTGCGGTGTCCAAATAGTGCTGGCACTCGTCGCGGATCTTCCTGCCGCCTACGTGGAAGGTGATGGCATTCGCCACGGGAAACTTATCGTCCGTGACAGTCTCAATGGCCTTGGCGACTTCACCATCGTCGAAATCCCTAGGGAACGCGACCTTGATCGCGCAGAGTACCTGTTGGTGAATGTCATCGGGGACAAAGGGGAGAGTGCTCTTGTACTCAGGGGCGCTGCTAGGGCACGCTTCGAGGAGATCGGACAATGCATTCGCATCCGCAGAGGGCTGGCTCGACTCCAAGATCTTCTCGGTCAAGCACTGCTCAATCACAGCGGCAGGCGAGTGGACGTCCTTCAAGCATCGGTCGTTCAGCATCGCCCAGAACTTGGGGAAGCTCGTCGCGCGCGCAATCTTCATTTCTGCGCGGGCCTTGTACCAGTGTTGGGGAAACGGAGGTACGACCTCAGGGGGCATCTCGCAGAACTGGATCTGGGATTCCAAGGTGTCCAGCCACTCAGTGCTCTTCGAGCCCTTGAGGTGGTAGACGTTAAGGGCTTCAATCATGGCCTGGAGCGCCTTCTGGCAATCGCGATGAGGGGGGCACTCCGCATCCGAATCCTCCATGCCTGCCAGCCTCAACTTGACGTTCTTGAGGAGCTGCTGCACCGTCTTCCTGTTAGGAGGCCAGTCCGCGCCAAACCAGCATGACGAATCCACTGGTGCTTTGATGAACTCGCTGATCATGTCCTGGGCCTCCGTGGCGTAATCAATCTTGGGGCGGCCTCGTTTCTTCTCTTCGGCCGCACTCGTGCCCTCGTCCGCGCCCCCCCCGCCAGTTGATTTCGCAGTCTTCCTCCTGGTGGCAGTGGCGGGCACGTCAGCGCCTGCCTGGGTGGTCGTCTTGGGTTGTGCGCCGCCACCGGCTGGAGCAGACTGTGATGCCTGCTGCCTCTGGCCGCCAGCGGCGCCCTGCTTCTGGCCGCCAGCGGCGCCCTGCCTCTGGCCGCCAGTGGCGCCCTGCCTCTGGCCGCCGGCGGCGCCCTGCCTCTGGCCCCCCATGGGCGCCTCCGTCACTTTGTCCTTGTGCGAGAAAGCGCCAGCGCTGCAGCCGAATAAACCGTCGGGGTCAATCTCCGAGTCGCACTTGGCACCCCCCTGCCCCGATACCTTCGAGCGGCCAGCCTCGCCAGCCGCCCCCTGCAGAGCTTTCTGAGCCAGTTCGCACGCAGCTCGGTGTTCTTCCTTCTTGCGGCGCCCCAAAATCTCGTCGATCGTCGCGCCGCTGCCCGCAGTAACGCTGCCGAAGATGGTGTTCCTCATGGCCGCCATCCTCTCTGCAAGGTCATTGTCGGTTAACTGGGCCGAACCGCTTGAAGTGGAGTGCAGCTTCTGGGTTTCCTTAACAATTTCGGCAGTGGCCCTCTTAAGATTCCAAATCTTTTTGCTGGGGGCGGCAACGCCTGATATGCCATTCATGACTGAAGGCTTGTGGCCCAGGCCATTGGTTCTCCAGTCGCCAAACTCTTCCTCGTACTCCACGTCCTCGTAGAACAAGTCCGCGGGGTTCTGCAAAGTCATTGAATGGACGACCTCGCGGGACAACTCCTTATCGAATTCCTGCCACGGCTGCTGGCCGTCCCGGCTGCCAACCTTGACGACGTGGGCGACGAGGACCTTCCTCATGCCAATGAACTGATCGAGGCCCTTCTGATCGGCGCCGAATTCAGTCACGAGCTGCGACAGCGAGATGCGCCTGATCAATTTGTAGCGCGCCACCCATACCTTGACGCAGTACCCGCAGAAGCAAGCTCGAGTCTTCCCATCTGGCCCCGGAGGGCACCCCCAGAACACGATTTCCTTCAAGCCGAGGGAATCTGCGAGAGGGTCCAGGTCATCATCGAAGCAACCGCACATCTTGCACTTGCGGTGGTCAGTTTTGGCTGAGAGGCGAAGCTGGGTTTGGGTCCCTTTCGCCGGCTCCTCATCCATCTTCATCTGGCGGCGATCCATCTCGCACAGCTGGTGGTTGTGGGCGAGAGGCGCCGCGGTTGATTAGTCCGACAGGCTGGGGACAGCTGAAACCAAAGTAGCTATCGCATCCACCTCCCTATCCGCCCCCTACTCGAGATGGGGCCCATCGGGCCGCCACCTTAAGATTGGAGAAGGGCAGCTCTCCGAGCCATGCCGCGAGCCGCGAGGCGCGAGTATCTTCGAGCCCCCGCGGGCGGCCTAGCTCCCCGCCGTCTACGCTCTGAGAAGCCCTCCCACCCCTGCCCTCCCCGAAGGGGTTAGCGAGACACTACGTCGCTACAATGTTTCTTGCACCGTCATCCTCCAGCTCCTCCTCCTCCTCCTCCTCCATTCCCATATTCCACCTCCTCCCTCCTCCTCCTCCTCCTCCCCCGCAGTCGCCTGGGAGGAGAGGGTGGTGCACTTGCGGGGGAGATGATGGGGGCAAGGGTAGGCCCTCCCTGCGACTACCACATGTCACATGTCACATGCAGCCGGCACGTGCGATGAGAGACCCTGCTATCAACATCTTCGAGCGCTGCCATCGCCAATCTGAAGCCCTCGAAGGGGTGCCCAAGACATGCGTGGGACCGCGAGGCAGCCCAGGAGTGGCAACTCTCAAGGCGGCACCTGCTGGGAGGCTGTTGCAAGGACAAGGGTGCCTCAGGATGCAGACGATGCCACCAGGCAACTGCGTTTTCACGTTTACATCGTCGCACGGCCACTCGAGTCATGGAAAAGCCCGCTCTAAGCGGGCCCAAAGAGCCGCCCCCAATCCACGAGAGCCCCGGAGCACCCCGCTCAATCCGGGCATGTTGACTACCGAGCGAGTCAGCTTTAGTATGTACTGTGGATGTGGGGGGGGGGGCAAGCAAAACCAACTGAATCCTCAAAAAAGCGCATCCACCTATGGTGCAGCGGCGCGCTTGCCGCCGTCCTGGCCGCCGCCGCCGTCAGCCTGGACTGCGAGCGGCATGCCGGCGGCGCCAAGTCCGACAGCGAGGACAGGTGCGAAAACAAAACCGCTAAAAGCGTTTCCAGCCAAGCTCATGAGCATCTCGTAGCCAGGCAGAGATACATGTTCGTCCATGCCGTAGCACTCCTGGCAGAAGCCGATCATGGCCATGGCCTCCCACCCCTCCATGACGCGAATAACTCGCGGGCCTGACTTGGGCGAGAATCTCATGACGATCTTGGACTTGCCAGTGAAGGTCGATGAACGAGGCTTCCACGGATTCCTCAACTCTGTGAGTTCGGCAGTCGTGTCCTTGTTGAAGCCAATCACGCGACCAATGGAGCTGTTCGTCTCCATGAACTCGATATCGTCCTCGGGCTTCCAGATCTCATTGCAGAAGAAGACGCTCTCTCCGACGCGACGCCCAAGGGCCAGCGGAGCCCAGTCGTCGGGCAGCTCAGGAGGCCATGTCATGCCGCCCAAACGGTACACTGCACAATTCTCAGCCTTGTAGTCGGGCTCGTTGATCTTGCGGCCGCGCTCCCTATCCCAGACCGATCCGAACAACTTCTGCGCCTCCTGCAATCTCTCCGAATTAAGAACCAAGAAATTCCGCGCGGGCATCGGGCTGATCTTCATGGCGCTCACCAACTCCGCCGGGTTGAAGGGCGCGTGCATGCCAGCGTTGTCGTCGGCCACTGGCAGTACGAACATGAAGTGCAGCCTGCATCGGTCGACCGCGGACCCGTAGTCGCCCGCCTCGAGCTTGAAGAGGTGCCCCCGGTACCCCAAGGACTTCATCTGCAACATGATCCATTCAGCATCCGTGATGTCATTAAGGACCTAGCATTCGGGCAATCTCGGGGCCTTCTTGGGGCAATCCCTACGCCGAAGCTCCGAGAAGCCCTCTTGAGACGGCCCCAGGATGGCTCCAACAAGGCCCCAAGGTCTCCAAAGCGCCAAGACGGCCCCAAATCAGAAGCCGACAGGATCACCTGGCATGTGTCTCCCTGGTGATCCTGTCGGCGTCTGAACTGGGGGCCATCTCGGGCCCGTCTTGGGCCCCAGTCGGGGCCGTCTTGCCCCAAGAGGGGCCCCGGGATGTCCCCAAAAGAGCCCCCAGAGGGCCACGCAGCGAGGCCCCAAGATGGCCCCCAGCATGGCCCCAAGACGGCGCCAAGAGGTCCCCAAGAGGGCCCCAAGAGGGGCCCAAGAGGTGCCCAAGAGGGCTCCAAGAGAGCCCCAAGAGGGCCCCAAGAGGGCCCCAGGAAGGCCCCAAGAGGGCCCCAAGAGGGCCCAGAAGCAAGATACACGAAAGCCGACATTGCATATTGTTCTGGTACCGTATTGGGCCCCCCTTGGGGCCCTCTTGGAGCCCTCTTGGGGTGCCCTCTTGGGCTCCTCTTGGGGGCCTCTTGGGAGCCTCGTGGGCCGTCTTTGGGGCATAGGGAAGGAGAAGGGACCTCAGCGCGAAGCTCCTTCACGTTTTCGAGCGTCACCAAAGTCGGCCGACACTTTGTGATGAAGGCCAGCAGCTCATGGAACGCCTTGCCACTCTCTCCGGCGCCCTTCTTGATGCACCCCCTCATCTTGGAAGAGTTACAAGAAAGCGGAGTCCTGCTGCTACAAGGAAACCCACCAGTCAGTACATCGAAAGATGGAATGATCGCCTCTTTGTTAGTAATCAGGTCGATCGCTTTGGCGCCCTTGTTCAAATCCGTGATCGACCCCACCAGCATGTCAGCAGGGCAATGGTTCTTCAAGAATATTTGCTTATCGGGGCAAGCCTCGCACTGCAGAACCTGCCGGAACGAGATCTTCGTGTCGTAGGTATCTGAGAGGTACTCGCATAGCGCGTCCATGACCTTCGCCGCTATGTTGGAGCCCGTGAACGTGCTGGCAACTCTGATCTCGCCGTTCACCTGCAAGCGCAAGACACCTCTCTTGATGGCGCGGAGCAGCATGTTCAATTGGCCTGGCCGCATTGCGCTAAACTGTTTGCCATATACTGCTTTCATGATGGGTCCTCTGTCAATCGCATCGGGGTGCCAGAAATTGTCGCTGGTGAACTCGGGGTCGGCGTTGTCAGTGTCCGGGTTGGCGCCCGTCTCCTGTGCGGGCGGAAATAACACATGTGCCGTACCAGGGCTCTCGTGGACCCCTCCAAGACCTTCCTGGATGCACGCGAAGGGGTGCAGCCTGTACGCGTGTTTTTTTCGCGTACAGGCGGATTTCTGTATTTTCACCATGTGTATTTCTATTTTCCGCACCTGTATTTTCTGATTTTTTCCCCTGTACGTCCCTGTACGTCTCTGTACGTGGGCATTTTCCACCGCTCGATGCATCCTCATTGTCGAGTAGCCCGCCTGTACGTCGACGCACAAGCGGGGGGGGGGGGGGGGGGAAAGCACGAGCGGAACAATAAAAATACCAGACAACAAATCAAACCAATGTGGTAAAATAACCCCCTCGCTCTCTCTGACGCACACGCACGCGAACATGTTCCGAACATAATGTGAGCTTCGCCCGCTGCAATCCTCGACTGGCTGCAGGGATGACCCCGCGAACACGCGGGCGTTGTCGATGTCGATCGGCTGGCTCGGCGTCGGCCCCCCCCGGGGGCCCACGAAGCCAAGCTCGGAGAGCAGGTCGGGCTTTGCCCTCCGCCGCTTCGCCACTGCCTGCCAAAGATCGTTCTCCAGCGACGACCAGCTTCGGGGGCTCCGAGTACAGCGGGGCCGCGATGGCAATGGCGTCCGAGGCTGAGCCCCCGCCGACGGCGCCGTCGCCTCTGCGGCCGGGGCTGAGCCGCCCGACACTGTGGGCTCGACATCGTCCGGAGGCGGCGCTGCGGCCGTCGGCTCGGCTGCCTTCGGAGACAGCGCTGTGGCCAAGGCTGCGCCGCTTGCGGCCGTCTGCTCGTGCTGTTCTGGCGGCTGAGTCTGCGCTGGCGGCTGCGGCGTTGGTGACTGGGCGGCTGATGTCTGCGGCGGCGGCGGGTTGCTGCCTGGCTCGGCGCCTCCGCCGACTCCACGTGTCGAAGCCGCCTCCTCTCCCAGCCTCGGCGACTCCTGCAACTCAGGGGGCCCTGCCGGCAGCGAGCGGGCTCCTCCAGTCGATGTCGACCCCCCTCTTGGCGATGAAGCTGCTGGCGGCCCAAGCGCAGCCAGGGTCGTCGCAACCATCGCCTCCTTCGAGCCCGCCGCCGGCGGCGCCTCCACCTCCGCCAGCGGCGCCTCCGCCTCCGCCGGCGGCGCCTCCACCTCTATACCGGCGGCGCCTCCACCGCTGCCGTCAGCGCCTCCACCGCTGCCATCAGCGCCTCCACCTCCGCTGGCTGCGTCTCCTCCTCCGCCGGCGGCGCCACCTTCGCCAGCGGCGCCTCCACCTCCGCCGGCGGCGCCTCGACCTCCGCCAGCGGCGTCGTCGTCGCCTCCGCCGCGGGCTTGGGAACAGCGGCTGGCGGCTGCTGCGTGGCTGGCCCCGCTGGCTCGATCGCCTGTGGCGACGTTGGCTCCTTGCCCGCCGCCGCCTCCTGGACCCCGTGCGCATTGCCCTCCGAGCGCATCTTCTTGGCTGGCGGGCCGCCTGGCTTGGCTGGCGGGCCCGTTGCCTTGGCTGACGGGCCCGTTGGCATGGCTGGCGGGCCGTCTGGCGTGGGATGCTGGGCGCTGGGCTCGGGTGGATGGCGGGCTGGCTTGGGTGGCGGGCCGTCTGGCTTGGGTGGCGGGCCTGGCTTGGGTGGCGGGCCGTCTGGCTTGGGTGGCGGGCCGTCTGGCTCGGGTGGTGGCGCACCCTTTGGCCGTTTCGGCTTCAAGCTCGGACCCCCCTTGAAGCACGCGGGAACTCCCTTCGCCGCGTCGCCGATGCTGGGCTGAGTGCGGGGTGGGCCGTCTCGAAGCAGATTGGCGATCAGCGCCGCCCCTGGAGGCGCTGGCAGGTCACGTGTCCTCCTATGAGGCATGGCCACCCGATGCCGCGGCTACCGGGAGTGAGGAAATCGGGCGGGCCTTCCACTGCCGAGCTTACG